CACAGGGTCGGAAACTGCGGTTGAGTTACCTACCAGCACTTATTCTAGTCTCGAGAATACATGGCGTTTATTAAATTCAGGGCGGCGGTGTGTATCACAGACTCTATTTTTAGTGATAACAACCAGCGAACTGTTTCTCTGTAGGTTTGACAGTCTTTTATTCAAAAGAGCTACAAAACTGTACTTCGATCTCTAGATTGTATTTTGCGGTTATTTTTTTCGTAAAGAAATCGATATAGACCAAACGCGAAAATAGAGCGAACTGACAACTTTTAAGCCCAGAAGCGAGCCTACTGCACATTAATGCAATTTCTTCCATCTCGATAAAAGTCTTACCGCTGATGTTTAGTTTCTCTCAAGTCAGGTAACTACCTGTAATCGTTTTTCCATAGATTACCGTTGTCTATAACTCGAAAACAATATGTAGGAGTCTGCAAAGCTACACTTAAGAATGCGCCCAGATTGCTTGTCTTGTCAGCGCAGGCTTATCTCTGTATTCATCAAACGTAGATGTCTTTCAGGATACGCAGATCAGTAGGGGACATCGTAAGCGGACCTTTGGGTGTTCATAACCCAAGGTAACTGATGCTGGTGCATGTATTTCCAGGGTGGAATGAGCCGGGCAATGTCCAGTAACGACAGGGTGTCCCTGACACGAAACAAATGTCTGTTTGTGCTGCTAGCAATACCCACCAACTCTTGAATACCAGGCATGTAATTTCCAACGCCAATCACAAACATTTCCACGCCAAGGATTTTCAGTTGGAAGGCGCGGTACAGTGTGAGGTGGATGTTGATGTTGGAGCTTCCATCCGTAAGGAGAAGAACACGTTTTTTTGCTCGTGGTCGTAATTTAGAGTTTTTGTTTTGGAACAGCTTCGTGCGACATATTTCAAAGGCTTCTTGAGTGTTTGTCTTGTGGCCAATGAAGTGAACTTTGGTGTGTAGATTGTATTTAGCTGTTTGTGGGTCGGTAAAACTGAAGTCCACCTTGGCCTTGTCTGAGTATGTGACGGCGGCATAATGAGTATTCGGGCTTGCTTTATCGATCAGCCTCTCTAAAGCTTTGACGCCTCTGTAGAAATCGCGTTTACGAATGGAATTGGACGCGTCGAACACAAGTGCGACGTCGTAGTAAGTTTGATCGACACTCCTCCGGTGTCGACGTCGGACCATGTTCTGGATAAAAAATCGTTCAATTTTCTTGGCAGTGACACGTTTTGTTGGTACTCTTTGAAGTCCTGTTAAAACAATATTTACACCATTAATTCGATGTTTGACCTAAATCCTGACCAAAACGAGTCACTCAATGATATTGGCAGAATGAGAAATGTATTAATTCAGTTCTCAGAAAGCTTTAGTCTGTGAATACAGCCGCCTCTTATTGCTTCCGGTCGCTTTGGGCGTTTCTGTATTTCCAGGCTAAAAGAGAACTCTCTGAACGACTTAAGAACAACTGAGCACGTTTACATTCGATAATAAGAGCGTATGGAGAATCGACTAGAGTCGCCAAGAGTGCATGTGAGTTTTAGGTTTGACTGAGCTCTTGAATAATAGTGATAATAATAACAATAATAATAACTTTTTTGTAGTGCGACGTTTTATTGACAATTCTAGGTCTTCGGTTTGCTCCGTAACTTAAGAAATTAAAGACGGATTTTGCTCTGATCAGTCGATTTAGTTACATACAGTGTTTGTCGTTCTTCCGTATCAGAAGATGCTTGAATTATTTCTCCATTTAATATATACAGCGATTAATTGTTATATTCTCAAGGTATACACAAATAGAGACGTTTTTAGACTACGTAGGTATGGATTTCATGTAGTGCGACCTTTATCTTTATGTAGCTCATCGCCTTTCGTTTGTAAGCGCAGAAGTTCTACAAATAATTCTGATTAAACTAGTTGTGAGAGCGCGACAATAACGTATTCTATGCTTGCATCAGTACCACTTGTGCCTCGTTTCGTGCCGGATTACTTATTGTCTTCATCTCCCAGTGAAGCACAGGTACTTGGATTTTCGTGATATCATTCAAGGACTTTGTTTTTTACTATCATTTTCAACCATTTAAGGGTTTCCGTCTTGAGCGGCTCGGTTCCGGTAAATGGCTATTTTTGATGTTGAATCATCCAGTTGTTCACTGCGCCAATTACTTTCTATATGGCTGGACGATAAAAAGAGGAACGTAGTGCTAAGCACGCTTAATATGGTGCTCTATTTACCACTTTAATTATGGGCGTCTTTGGAAATTCACTTATAGTGTTGCGCCAATTTACACAAAAGGCCGCTTCATCAAACGGAAGATCTTTTCAATTCTAGATCAAAGGAACGAACGAGCGTATATCGGCACGACTTGCGGTAATAGCTAACAAGTGCTTAAACTCACTTGACTGATGAGAAATTCCGCTTTTCTTCGTCTTTTCCCACACAAAGCAGTGTGAAAACATAACTAGTAACAGCAATAAAAATAGCTTAAGCAGGG